CAAATGTCACCATCAGCAGATTTTTGACAGCAGATCTAGCTGCTCTATTAACCCATCTGCCAGCAAAAGCTACTGTAAAAGTAGCTTACGGTCTCCAAAAGGTTTGTATGGGTTAGCAATAATCCATTGTTAATTATACTCAAAGATAGAAGTGTTTGTGAATTACATGATACAATGGCTTGCTGCAGTGTGTGGAGCAGACTCGAACCAAAGACCCAGACTCCAGGTACCTGCTGCGGTTCTGGGGCCTCATTTATCAAGCTTTCTTACGCACAAAATGGGGTTGGAAAACTGCGTAAGCAACTTACCACGCAAGCTTTGGGATTTATAAAAGAAAATGTAGCGGAAAACTGTGCTCAACTTTAAGCTGACTAAGGACCTGGCTTACGCATATTTTGGACATGAAGAGCACCTGCAGTGCTGCTGCTGAGAAGGATACAATTATGAATTCCAGCAGCATTATCACTTGTACCCCCCCCCCCCCCCCCCCCCACCACCACCACCACTACCACCACCACCACCACACACACACACACTGAAGCGCAGAATACAGAATGCAAAATATCAGCAGGGGGGTAGAATGAGACAGAATGTCATACGTCTGTGACAGTGTGAGCGTCCTGTCCCTGTGATCCGATTGATCATGCGCCTTGGCTACTTAGACAAGCGAGATGTCCATTTGGCCGACTGGTTAGCGTGCTTGACCCATACCTGGGAGTCTGGGGATTGAATCCCGATCGGACCATTTTTTTTATATCTGCAACAGATCTCTCTGAAGAACTCAGCATTGACGGCTTCAGCAACGCTGTGCCACTCCGTGGATTTTCTCTTATTTCTTTTGCAACATTTCTCCACCTCACCCACAGGTACCTCAATTTCTGCTTCAGTGAAATTGCGCTTCCTTGATCTGCGGTTGCGATCGTTAATGGTGGAGCGCTGCAACAAGCTGGTTTATGTACATGCATGAGATCCACAAGGCACTTTGCATTGACCATTTATGGCAGAAAGTGGGCGTGTTGAGGGCGGGATGTGATAAAAAAAAAGGCTGAGCACATTCCTAGAAAGTTTCTGATTTATGAAGCGGAGATTGCGTGCAGCTGTGCGTACTCCCATGTTTGATAGATCACAAACCTACTTGGCATAAGTACATTTTTTTGCTGAGCTTAAGTACGGTTTTAGTAAGGATTCTATGCAATGTTTGATAAATGAGACCCCAGCTCCGTAGCGCTGCAGCTGCAGACATCCACAAATAAAAGGGATGGAGGGGATTTGTCTTACACTTGTAGAGTTTAGTCATTCACAACCATAGTGTTTTTTCTGAACCCCACTTGATCTTAAGTGTGCTACCCGCTAGCATTATCCAGTCTGCTCCTAGTTTAACACTTGATCCCAAACTTTGGACCATCCTTTTACAATGGTTTCTCTCTTTGCTGGTTTCTCCATTTTCCTCCATAACACCTAGATTACCTCAATGTGCGCCAGTAAAATTGATTCAGACTGTGGTCAGCACATTTATCAAAGCTTTAAATCAGTAAAAAAGGATTTGAGGATTTTAATTAATCAAACCATTTGAGTATTCGTTTCAGCCCTACATAAATATTTTAATTACTTCATGTGACCATGGCTGTTGGTTATCATGACTGACTGAAGCTGGAAGTTTCAACCAGTACTCATCCACCTCCCTCATCCACCAGTAAATAAACTGGTCATGATTTTCAACCAGGAACTTGCTGGAACACCAGAGTTTCCAAATTGAAACCATTTTTACTTCATGATGTAAATGTCGTAGTCAAAGGCCTCACTGCCATGTCCTTACCTGATAATGCACATTGTGGGTCAGAAAACTGCCACCCACCATAATAGTAGGAGACACTTTCAAACTCAACTGTCCTCATGGACAGAGCAAATGTCCTCTGGACAAAAGGTTCATGGTCGAATAGGGCAATGACTGAGTTGTTTGGCCACAAAGACAAAACGTTGGGCAGCTATTTACTGCTCACCTAAGGCTAATCCTGAATTTCTTAATGAATTTTCTGAATATATTGGCTTTTTATGTTCCCTTTCTAAAAAAGTGGTTTTATTTGTTGATTTTAATATTTATGTTGATAATCCTGCCAACTCTTTTGTGAAGGACTTCATATCCTGTATGGACAGTCATGGTCAGCAATATGTAGAATTTTCTACTCATTTGAAGGGTCACATGTCAGATTTGGTTTGTTGCACTGGCGTTATACCATTTAGTTTTATGCTATCTGATTTTCCTGTTTCTGATCATAAACGTGTTGTATTCAAGGCTAACCTACCACTTCTCAAAGACACTTCCCCCCGTTCCATCACAATCAGAAATATAAAGAACATTGATCCTTCAGTTCTGTCCTCTGCTATTTTTAACCTCCCTAGCAGGGATCACCTATCCACTCCTGATGCACTGTTGTCTCACCACAACGATGGCCTTCTGAGCATTTTAGATCAGCTGGTGCCACTGAAAACTGGGACTGTTACTTTTTCTGACTGTGCTCCATTGGAATACATCTGAATTGTGGCTACTCAAACGTGAGGCATGTCGTCTGGAGAGGCTTTCAAGGAAAACTGGACTCAGCAGTCATAAGGAATTATGCCGAATTCATTTATTGAAAGTACAAAGATGCCATTTCCAGGGCTAAATCAATTTACTACACATCACTTATTCACTCAGCGGAAGGAAATTACAAAGTGTTATTCTCTACCTTGAATAATATTATCAAGCCCCCTGATACTTTTTCCCCTCAAACGTACTCTACCATTCTCTGTAATCGATTTATGGATTTATTTTCTTCTAACGTTGAAAATATTAATTGTCAATTGTCACCCTGTAATGCATCTAGATGTTCACATTGTTCCAGCTTTTTCTTCCACTCTTCATAACTTCCATCTGCCCTCCATTAAGAAACCTGGTTTGGCTACAACCGATCTAAATAATTTCAGACCAATTTCCAACCCCCATTCCTGTCAAAGGTATTATAAAGTTGGTGGCATCCCTTCAACTTCATAAACATCTTAACAAGAATCATCTGTATGAACTGGTTCAATCTGGCTTTCGCCACAACCACAGCACTGAAACTGCTATGGTTAAAATTACAAATGATCTCTTAATGGAGTCAGACTACATATTCTAACAGTCAGACTGTTCTGTGTGCACACGAAGCGGTACAAGTGATAACGCTGCTGGAATTCATAATTGTATCCTCAGCAGCAGCACTGCCGCTGTTCTCCATGTCCATAATGTGCATAAGCCAGTAGAGGTGCTGAAAAAAATCGATTCAAGTCTGAATCGGGATTCTTATTTATAAAGATTCAGAATCGATTCCAAGAACTCAAATATTTGGCATGTTACATGTTTGAGATGAACTTTTTTTATCTTTACTAGGAGAGTCAGTACTCCGTTTACTTTTGTGGTCCCATAAATTGAGATGATTTATGTTTGAATCTGCTGATAAGTGGGCACTTGAATGTCATTTTTCCATACTCAGAAATTTGAGATATTCTCATATTTATTTTCTAAGTTGATAAATGAGTACTCAGGATTACTCATGCAACTTGTTTCTGCACATACTTGAAAAGTATTTGACCATATTACTTTCAAAGCTACTGTTAGGTAACTACAGATTTGTTATGTTTTACAAGGTAAGCAAAATAAATGTTGCCTTTTGGTCAAAAGATTGCTTCTGTTTACAGTTTTAGAATCACTTTATTTTACTTTGTAAATTTGCGTTTTTGGAGCATGACCAGTTTAAAGTCAAATAAAAATGCCCCATAGCTTTAACCAACTTGTACAACAAAGTAGTTCATCCTGGAGCTGACTCTCTTTGTTAATACTGATTGGGAATCGATTTAAATTGAGAATCGAGAATCGATTCTGAATCGAATCGGCACCCCAAATATCGGAATCGAATCAAATCGTGAGTTGCTCTAAGATTCACATCCCTATAAGCCAGCTCCTTAGTCAACTTAAAGTTACGCACATTTTTCCGCTAAGTTTTCTTTTATAAATCCCAAAGTTTGCGTGGAAAGTTGCTTACGCGGTTTTCCGACCCCGTTTTGTGCGTAAGCAAGCTCGATAAACGAGGCCCCTGTTCACTTCCAGGCTTGATTACTGTAACACACTACTCTCCAGTTTGCCACAAAAACTACTCCACAAATTACAACTGGTTCAGAACTCGGCAGCCCGTATCATCTCAAGAACACTATTTTCACACCATATCACACCACTTTAGTTTAGTTTAGTTTAGTTTAGTTTAGTTTAGTTTAGTTTATTTGTCATATGCAAGTTAGCACAGGGTCAACATTGCAATGAAATGTGTTTGACGAGCAGCGGTCTCTCAGCAGCATAATACAATAGAAAAAAAGAAGAAGGTATAATACAGTAAAAGCAAAATATTAGAGAGTCATGCTAAAAGTAAAAGCTTACTAAATAGATAAGTAAGTATAGATGACTAAATATAAATATATCTTTAAAAAGTGAGTAGTAACATTAAAATGAAGTAACCAGTGCAGGTTAAATTTTGCTTGTGGAGCTGCAGGGTAACATCTGTATCCTGTGTTGTGTGTGTTTAAGTGTAATGGTTGAGGTGCCGTACGGCTTGGTGGTAGAAACTGTTTTTAAGTCTCGTAGTCCGAGCAGGCAGACTCCTGTAACGCCTGCCAGATGGTAATGAGAACAGCTGATGCGCTGGGTGGCTGTGGTCCTTCTCAAGCAGCTACACTGGCTTCCAATCCACTTCGCTACTGAGTTCAAAATCCTTTTGCTAACATTCAACGCCCTCAATAACTACCCCCCACCCCTCCGTTTGAAGCGTATTTTTAGAGCTCTATACGAATCTCTCATTTCAGTTTTGATAAAAGACTCTCACTAGCACCTTGTGTAACATACACAAGCACCTCTTTGTGTTCTGCATCATCTGAATGATACCTAACCTCCCCTGGCATGTGTGCGCTTGTCCTGTGTCATCCCTATTTTGCAGGAAACAAAATGGGGAAACAGAACAGCAAACTGACCCCTGAAGTGATGGAGGATCTGGTGAAGAACACGGAGTTCAACGAGCACGAGCTGAAGCAGTGGTACAAGGGATTCCTGAAGGACTGCCCCAGTGGCCGGCTAAACCTGGACGAGTTCCAGCAGCTCTACGTCAAGGTGGGGCTGCACTCACTCACCTTCATTTGATGGATTATGTGTGTGTCGTGTACTACAACACAACATTCAGAGGGCCAGGATTGTGTTCAAACCCTGAGGCAGGATAACAAGTTGGATGCAGATTTATGGAATTAGGAAGGAAAACAGCACATCAGATAAAACTCATCAAGTACGAGGAAGATACCTTAAATCTATGTTTATTATCTTCAAGAGTGGTAGAAATGTTGATACGTTTTTAATGAAAATAAAATAAAATCTGCTTATTTTTCTCATTTGAAATGTACAATTTTCTTTCACTTTTAACAAGCAACTTTGAGATTTATTGTTTATCACAAGAAAGAATGTTGCATATAAGCAGATAATATTACTATGAAGTGCCAACTCTGGCAGGACAAAAGACAGAAAATGAAGCGTTTAATTATGATGTATTTAAAAATAAGTCTGAATATGTAGTGAGAATGTTTAACGTCTGTTAATCATAAGATAGAAGTGGAAATAATCCATAATACACTTCATTTCTGCAGTTTATTATTGTGTGTGCATGTATACATACATTATATATATGTATACATACTAGGGATGCATCAAAATAAAAATAAAAAGTGAGGAAACACCAAAATAAATAAGTCAGTAATTAGAACCATATCATTTATGGCTATGATGTGTACTAACCTCACGAAAATTAAGGAATTGCAATAAAACAAACTAGTCCAAAAATAAAACAACGATCGTAATAAAACAGCGTTACTAAAAGCAGATTTTTAGCAAGTGGCCACATGAGGACATTTTTGATGGCAGAATTTTTCGGTTCAGTCCTATGTACACACACACACACACACACACACACACACACACACATAAATATAGTTAAGTCGGGCTCGTTTCCAGTGAGAGTTGGACTCCGCCAAGGCTGCCCTTTATCACTTTATTACCCTTCTGTTCATAATTTTTATGGACAGGATTTCTAGACACAGCAATGGTGTTGAGGGGATCTTTTTTGTGGCCTGTGGATCGGGTCTCAGCATTTTGCAGATGGTGTAGTCCTGTTGGCTTCATCCGAATGTTAACTCCAGCTTTCGCTGGAGCGGTTCGCAGCCGAGTGTGAAGCGGCAGGGATGAGAATCAGCTCCTCTAAATCAGAGACCATGTTGTTAAAAGGGTAGAATGCCTTCTCCAGGTCAGGGACGAGGTCCTACCTCAAGTGGAGGAGTTTAAGCATCTCAGGGTCTTGTTCACAAGTGAGGGAACGATGGCGCGTGAGATCGATGGGTGGATTGGTGCTGCGTCTGCAGTGATGCGGGCGTTGTACCGATCTGTTGTGTTGAAGAGAGAACTGAGCCGGAAGCCAAAGCTCTCGATTTACTGGTCAATCTATGTTCCTACCCTCACCTATAGTCACGAGCTTTGGTTAGTGACCGAAAGAACAAGATCGTGGATACAAGCGGCCGAAATGAGATGGGATGAGGAGCTCGGTCATCCGGGAGGGGCTCAGAGTAGACCCGCTGCACCTCCACGTCAAGAGGAGCCAGTTGTGTTGGCTTGGGCATCTGGTCAGGATGCCTCCTGGACACCTCCCTGGTGAGGTTTTTCAGGCACGTCCAACCGGGAGGAGACCCAATGGAAGACCCAGGACACGCTGGAGGGATTATGTCTCTCGGCTAGCCAGGGAACGCATTGGGATTTCTCCGGAAGAGCTGGCTTAAGTAGCTGGGGTGACGGAAGTCTGGGCGTCCCGCTAAGGCTGCTGCCCCCGCGACTCAATGCTGGATAAGCGGATGAAAATGGATGTGTGTGTGTATATATATATATATATATATATATATATATATATATATATATATATATATATATATATATATATATATAATATATATATATATATATATATTTTTTATAGCATTTTGCTAAATAACACTTGTTAATTTTTTCAACCTCATTGCATCCACTCAGTAGAAGTATTAACCCTTTCACATCTTTATAATTTATAGTAACACAATTGAGTAACGACGTAATAACTAGCCTAGCTGCTGTCAGCTGGTGGTATATATACCTGTTTTAAAAGGAGGAAATTCCATCCATCCATCCATTTTCTGAACCAGCTTTGTCCACGCAGGGTTGCGGGGGGGGGGGGCTATCTCCAGCGGTCAACGGGAAAATCAGGCGGGATACACCCTGGACAGAGTGCCAGTCCATCGCAGGGCAACACAGAGACACACAGGACAAACAATCATGCACACACACACACTCACACCTAAGGACAATTTGGACAGACCAATCAACCTAAAAGTCATGTTTTTGGACCGTGGGAGGAAGCCGGAGTACCCGGAGAGAACCCATGCATGCACAGGGAGAACATGCAAACTCCATGCAGAAAGATCCCAGGCTGGGAAGCGAACCCATGACCTTCTTGCTACAAGGCAACAGCTCTAACCACTGCGCCACTGCGCAGCCAAAAGGAGGAAATTGTGGTTTTATTGTTCAGTAACATACAAAATAGTCAATAAAAATATATGGTTAAAAGGTAATGAAAATCATGATAATGTTGTTTTTAGTGTAAAAAATACAATATATCTCTTTCAAATCACCTTCTATAGTATCCTGTTAATCCCAGTGCCACAGTTTGATAAGCTGTACTTTACCAACGAGATGTTGTTACTTAACTCGGCTTATGTCAGCATCTTGGCTGTATGGTTGAACTTCCTGAGTGGCTGAACAACATAAAAAGCACTCGGAATAGCGTAAGAATATGCATTAATGTTTCATCAGCGAGGAAATGCATCATCACCGGAGGGGCTGCTGTTACATAACACACACGTTGGGGTCATGGCTGCGCTTCCTCTAAACGCCATCCGAGCCTGTGCATCAGCTGAGACCAGCTCAGGAGAAATAAATCTGGAGCGCATGTAAATGGAGGAATGCTAGCTATTAAAAATAGAATATAGATGTTTTTAATAATGAATTGATGTTTCAGTAGAGAATCTTTAAATTATTTAGGTAAAGTGCAATGGTCCCTGAGATGGGGTACAATATCTCTCAAAAACCTTGTGACAGGAACATCAGAAAACAGATTGGTGCATCTTGTTGTGTTTCCCGGCAGCGATAAATCAGCGATGGGGTTTATTTAAATCAGAATGGCCAATCAATGAAAAAACGGTCCATGTAATGTGTGTGTGTGTGTGTGTGTGTGTGTGTGTGTGTGTGTGTGTGTTTGTGTGTGTGTGTGTGTGTGTGTGTGAGGTGTTTGGAGAGGGGGTCGTGCTTATTAGGAAGATGACAGAGGTGAAATAGCACTGGCAGCAAGTGAGAGGCAGAAAGAGGCAAAGACGAGAAACTAATTATTTATTAGTCATCATTAGTTGTGATAAATGACCTGTGTTGATATAATGCCTTAGGGTTTAAAAAAAACCAAGGCACTGTAGAAGACAAACAGTCACACACACATATTCATATGCCATTGGTGATGAGCTACATCATAACCACAGCTGTTCTGGGGCACATTGACAGAGGCGAGGCTGCCGAGCACAGGCACCACCAGTTCCTCCGAACACCACCATCAGGCAAGGTGGGTTACGTGTCTTTCCCAGGGATCCTGCCATTGTTGCCCGTAATTATGCAGTTAACTGCATTTATGTGTGTGAGTGTGTTTCACGACACTTTCATGTGCACACACCTTTGCACACCCCCGCCTACATTTGCACAGAGCTTCACCTGTGACGTTGCCCCTGCCTGGGCTCTAAGTGCAACGTTTTCTCTGTGCAGCTTCCTGCCTGGAGATAATGTCCGTGTTTTTGTTGGAAGCAGTTTGTTCCCTCACTTTTTTGTCTCCTACTCTCTCTCCTTCTTGCATTTGGTCTCTCACTCTTTTAGGAAGATAACGGAGAAGGGACAGAAAGCAGGTGCAGCGTGTTGCCTGGAAATAATAGCTGAGGGCTTTTTGTGATGCTGCGGAACAAAAGCTGCTTCAATTATAGCCGTCTGTAGTTCCTTTTGTAACTGCAACCAGCAGATCAGTGGGTTGGAACAGATGCATGGTCTCTTTTTCAGTTTAGCTCTTCCTCCATAACAAAGAATAAAAAGTAATCATCAGGATTTGATGTAAAATCTCATCAATTAATCTGACCAATCCAAAGGGATTGGTAACCTTGAAAATGTGTGTTTGCTAAACTAAACAGAGACAGTTCAGTTAAATGTTAATTTATTTGTTCAGGAAGTAGTTATTGTCAATCAATCAATCAATCAATCAATCAATCAATCAATCAATACTTTATTAATCCCAGAGGGAAATTAGAGTTTCAGTACACACAATTCAGAGATCAGACATACATGGGCAAGACACATGACAAGAATTGGTGACTGTGGTCATTCACAACCGGAGTCACGGTACCTTAATAGAGATAAGAGGGTAACATGAGGAATTAATTTGGGAGGAGGGGAAAAAAAGGCTGTTTCCCCCAGTAAGAGCAGCCATCCACGGCGCTCAGCCACTGTAGTCACAGGTGGGAGGGAGATCTTGGGAGAAGCGCAGAGCACATTGACTCCTGCAGGTTGATGACCTCGCCAGGCTGAAGTCTACCAATCCAAAGGGGGGTAGGTCAGGTTTTCACAGCATCTGTCTGCATTCCTTCATGGGGGTTTGTAGCCGCTCAAGGCTACCAGGACGTCAGATTCAGACAACAAGAATTTGTTTGGGTCAGGCTGAGATAATTTTCCTCTCTGCCTTCAGTCTTTAAGCTGATCATTCCAGTCCTTCAGTGAAGCCAATTTTGGGTTTTTAAACCTGTCCATACCGTCCGGTGACCCTCTCCGAGATGACATCCATTTTGCGCACTAATACCGGTGTCGCAGCTAGAACATTGTCCAGCTTGCGATTCACCTCGAGTTACGTCCCAGTCTGAGAAGTCTCCACACGGACGGTGCTTTCCGTGGGTGTCAGTATGGCCAGGTTGTAATTTCAGATTATAATGGGTCGCTCTGAGTTTTTCATACAGGCTGAACATGAA